TACATAAACAAGTAAAAGCACTACACTAGAAGATTTTTTCATGGAGTCACATTTGCACATACTTGAATTTCATTATTATGTATTATTAGTATTAAAAGTCTTATCTTTTTATCAGTAACGTTCTATGATAATTTCCAGTGAAGTTTAAAAGTGAGTATGAATTTCTTCAAGAATTTTCAATTGTTGTGACAATTTCTCAGCTTATAAAAATTAGCACTCTTAGAAATGTCTTTTTGACTTTAATGTTCTCAAGGAGTAAAGGAAGGCAACTATACTCTCCACTGTACCACCAACGTACAAAGAATAAAGGAAATGGTCAGTTTTTCATGGGCATTTAAAATTCCGTTGTTAAGAATATATTTAGAGGCCGAACATGATGCTGCATGCCTGCAACCCAGCATTTCAAAAGCTGGGGCAGAGGATTGGATTTTAAGGCCTGCTTAGACCACATAGTGTGTTCCAAGCTAGCCTGAGCTACATAAGAAAACCTTGTCCACAACAATTCAAACAAGAATATATAATATATTTGCAAATTAAATTTAAATGCTTTATTCAAATAAAGTAGGTACATGTTACCTAAACCTCATTATTTTGCAACCACCTAGTTCCTCAAACATTATCTGAAATCAAAATCCTAATTCCTACTATATTTCTTTCAAGGAAAAAAATATACTAATCAGATTGAGAGCATATGATTACCAAAGTCTGAAATAGTACCATAATATAATTATGTAAAATAATTATGTTTTAATGATATCTTTTTAGCACTGATAATGGTTTATGTGTACGCATTAGCAGGTGCAGATGGTTCTTACCTGTGTTTTACTAATGCATGTGATTGAAAGTGACAAAGGTGTTTGCTTACAACCACTCTTCTGTTTGGTTTTTCTAATGCCTTATAGTACTTTGTCTTGTTTTATTCTGTTAGGTTTTATTCTTCTACTTTGTGCCTTTTTGTTGTACTTTTCCATTTACAGCTATAGAACTTTGCACTCAGCTCTTACCCTACTGTTTGTCTTTCCAGTCCATACCTTACTTGGCTTTTTGCTCTCTGAAGATTTGCTCTCTGAGTATTTCAACATTCTTTCCTGTCTTCGCTAACTAATGCTCTTACATTTGGGTTATTGTTATAAATTGTTATCTATTTTCATTTCTGCTTCTAAACTACTAGTTATAAGTCTGTATGTTTTCTTATTATCTCTATTAATCTATCTGATACAATCAAAACTATAAGGTTGTAAATTGAACTGGAAAATAGAAACAGAAATCAATTAACTTCTTGAGTACCTGTTGTATATTAGGTAATCTATTTATACCTTCTCATTCTCTTCATCACCCTAAGAGATCTAGGTATGTTTTATTCTTAAATACACTGAAGCTCAGAAAGCTTAAATATATTCTTCTCAAATCTAGATAGTACATGTATTTACTTCTGCATTCCACTAATATTTTTGAGCATATGCTAGGTGTTACCCACTGTACTGTGTGATGCAATAAATCCAAACCCTCTCTCTTGAACAGTATCTTTGTAGTATCATTGTTTAACTTCACAGATAGTGACACCTTTGCCATACCAGTCATTTTAAAAAGAGAAAATAACCCAAAATAGATTATAATGTTATATGGAAAACATGCATTAGTTACAGATGTAAGAAAGATTATGTTGGTGATTTAAGAATGTCCTACTGGAAACACATTATCATGTTTTGATCTATAAGAATCCTATAGTCTGCTCCCAGCCTCCCACCAACTCACCATGATTCATACCATAATAATTTAAAAGCAAACTAACAATGCAGAAGAATATCCAATCTTATTTAAGATCAGAAGTTTCTCCTGCAGGAACTCTTAAAGAAAATCACATTATAATGTGAACATACCTCAGATACTCCATCCATATAAACAGAAATTTCACTGAGAGATTTGTTTATGTCCAATAGTGGACCACAAAAGCAATTTCTAGTAAAATAATTTTCTGGAAACTGAAGTGAGATATTTCAGGTGGAATCCAGTGTACTGGCAAAATTCATGATATATTCTAGAGAATCTAGAAAACTTGACGAACTTGATCTCTTGCATGCCATTTTTACTTATTTTGTTAACGCTAGGTCACAGCTTTTACACTAAGTTTATTTAATTCATCACTGAATCATTACATCCTTTGAATACTCCCAAACACATCTTAGACTCCTAATAAGCAATGTTTCTCAAGTAGATAAGTATTATATTTTGGTCTCTCTATTTTAGATAAAATATGCCCTCTTGGCATCTGTTGGTATTTCTCTATTTGTCCTTAAAATGTGCTATTCTTCTTGGGGTACATAATCTTTATTTATTTTTTATTATATATTTAGGTGTGTCTCCTTATGTTTTCTGTTGCTAGAAGAAAATACTGGAGATTGATTTTTTTTTTTTTTACTTTTTTTTTTTTTTTTTTACTTTTTTTTTGATTTTTCGAGACAGGGTTTCTTTGTGTAGCTTTGCGCCTTTCCTGGAACTTGCTTTGTAGACCAGGCTGGCCTCGAACTCACAGAGATCCACCTGCCTCTGCCTCCTGAGTGCTGGGATTAAAGGCGTGCGCCACCACCGCCAGGCATGGAGATTGAATTTTTAAAAGAAAAATAAGTTTATTCAGTTTTGGAAACTGAAAGTCCAGAATAGAGGGATTCTATTTGTTGACCTCCAGGAAGGGTCCCTTAGGTGCCTCACAACAGCAGAGAGGCAGAAAGGGAAATGGTTGTGTATAGAAGAGATCACACAGAAGCTCACTCTTTATGTAATTCGTTCCCTTAGGATAGCATTGCCACACTGAGGTCTAAGCTACTAACATATGAATCTTTGGGAGAACTGTATTCAAGTCCATTAATGTCAAGCACTACTTATATGATGACTTTTTAAAGTGGGTAATGAAGTATTAATTCTTCTAAAGAGATCTTTTTATATTATGCTCAGCTTCCCTTTGCTTGATTGTTAGTTAGGACTTTAGATTTTTAGTCTCCTGAGAATTTTCAAACTTTAACACAGCAGTTTATGACTGAAATAGTATCTCATATCATGAGGCCTCAAACTTATATTGGATAGGTTGGCTTCAGATGATGACGAGTGAAGTTGACAGCTCATCAGTTTTCAGCTTTGAACTTAAATAATAGCAACTCATTTAAAAACTTCTGAAGTTAAGATTTTCTTTCTACTGCCTGTGGTGCCCTTTGATTAACGCAGAGTTCATTAAGAAGCAATTGTTGTTAAACATTACGCTATCCTGGGTGCAGTGGACCAGGAGATTTATCAGTTCTGGGAATCCTGTATTTTATATGCATATTAGGGACAAGTTTTACATATATACACACACACACACACACACACACACACACACACACACACACACACACACACACACACATATATATATATATATATATATATATATATCCTATCAATTTGTGTCTGATACATACTTGATTTGCTTTAACTGTTTTGTCAAGTCTTCAACTTTTGCGGAGAGGAAAACAACGAGCCAGAGATGCGACCTTCCTTATAGCTATCACTCGCTGCTGCAGAACTGTAGTAGGCACAGCCTGTTTCTGTATCCTATCAATGTTTATATTTTGCTTACTTTTCCTCATAATGAAATACTCTTACAAATTTTACTTCTTGGTCGCGTCTATTTATTGTAACTTCCTTCATTTATGGAAACATTGCTAGAAAGGTTTTAAGTCATGTGTTTTGTTCCTAATTTTAGCCTAAAATTTACCTTTCCATTAAATACATGTGCGATCATAGTTTATATTTTGTAATTTCAGTGTATGGTCCTTCACAAATACCAGTGTCTTACAGATTAAAGGTTTTAGGCAACCCTGTGCAAAGCAAGAATGTTAATGCCATTTTTCCAATATATGTTTACCTCATATCTCTGTGTTGCATTTGATAATTCTCCCAATAGTCAAAGCTTTTCATTATTTTTATGTCTGTTGATCAGTCAAGAGCCAGCAAGCTCAAAGCTAGAGCATCCACTTGGAATGCAGTTTTGACTGCATGAAGATTCAGATGATCACTAGCATACTTTTGCAACACTGTATTTCATTATTGTAACTTTTTTATATATAATGATTCCATATGCTTAGTACACTACAAGATAATGTAAAAAACTTTTATATGCACTCAGAAACAAAAGAGTTCATACGATGTGCTTTATTGTTTTATTGGCTTAATAGTGGTCTGAAAACAAACCTGGAATATCTCTAAGGTATGCTTGTATTCTGACTGTTAGAAAATGTGATTTTCCTATCTCCTTCATTAACTTACTCATGGTTTAACTACCCTTCATCTTAAGAATGTTGGATCATAACTCTTAGTATAATAAATGCTATCACCTTATTCTTTAAAAAAAAAATCCAATGGCTAATTTGTACTGAAAATAGAAAATGTAAAATTTTTCTTTAGCTAATTTATGGGGAAGTTGATATTTTTTTTGTCTCTTTAACCACATTATAAAATCATAGAACTAGAAGTAATAATTTTGGAGATCATTTTTCTTTCAGTAACAATAGGCAAGCTGTGAATGTAGTGCAGTGCCACAGTTCATACTGGAGCTCTTACCTAGCATGCACAGGGCCTTGGCTTCCATCCTCAATACCACAAAACAAAAACCATAAGAGCCACCAAAGATGATGCCCAGCTTTCTTACACCTCTGAAATCTTTTGAATTGTCACAGCAATCTGCGTTTTCCTTTTTTCGAATTCAGTTATCAGACAAGTTGAGTTTTCTATCAAATACTTTGAAACTGTGAGGAAAAGAATAAGATGGGACTGGTAACATTCTCCAGATTTTCCTGATCATTAGCTTATGTTTAGTGATCCTGAAAAACTGAGCTGGCTAACTTTAAAAATCTAAATGATTGAGGAACTACAAAATACGGTTTATCTTGAAGTGAAATATACTACTCTGCCTTTCTTCTTTTTTGGCTAATTCACTCAGTCTGCTATTTAATCTTTAATTACAGGCCACAAAAGAAGTAATAGAACGGGAAGCACCAGGGATGGCCCTGGCCATGCTGATGGGATCACTTAATGTTACACCTCTGGGCATGCTCTCTAGGTAAGAAAGCCACCCACAAATTGCAAAGAAAGTGAACTCCTGACTACAAATCAGTAACCTAGAACAGTAAATCTAAGAGAGTTTAGTCCCAAAACTTAAGTTCATCCCTTTCTATCCAGAGTTGAGAGCCTTACTACCTACCCACTGTAGCTAAATCTCGACCAGTCCTCTTTTTTTTTCTTTTTGGTTTTGGTTTTGGTTTTGTTTATACTAAACTTCTAGAGACTGTTTTATCACTGCTGAAAGCCATCAGTCCTAATGCATAAGAGTTGAGTTCATACAAATGTAAAGTTATTCTTTTGTGATTGTTTATAATCACCAATTGGTATTCATTAATTGTAGCTAGCTGTTAGTTTAATGCAATGATCTAGTGAAATTTTTAAAATCACTCATTCTCATATGTAGGAACTTTGATTTGATTTACAAAGAGGCATATTTATGTATAGTCATAAAAATAGATAATTTCTAAGTTATTTAGTGTATTAAATTATTCTATTAAATCAGTGTGTTATTATATTAAATTAGTGTATTTAAAACTACATTTTTGTTGGCATAGATGGTGGCATCTATATTTGATCTGGTGGTTTCTTAGTATTTTAGCAAATCTTAGATTATAATCCTATAAATGAAAATAGTATACATCACTTAAAATAAACCTTAATTTAGTCAGGATCTCTTTTAATGAACTTAGAATAATAGACATTTAATCTCATTGTAGCAAAAAATACACATCTTTGTAAGTTCATAACTTGATAATCGGCATAGCCACTTATATCCTGTGTGAATATGAATATAAAAGCTAATAAGGTATCTATTTAATTAATATATAAATATTATTCAATTGGCTTTCTTATTACTTGGATTAAGTTTATATTTCGTTGATGACAGTCATTGGCGATATAGTTATGAGTGAATCAACAATTATTCTATTCTCTTTACTGTCATATATGTACATTATTATAATGTTTAATAAGTGAAAAGGAAATTAAATAATATAAGAGATCATATATATAATTAGTTCTTTGAGAATTTTATTCATGCTTTGATCGTATTCTCCTTTCCACCAACTCTTCCCATGTCCGTACCCCTTCCCACCCAACATTGGGTCCTTTTTTTTCACCCTCTTCAAGGCCAATGTATACTGCATAAATAGTCTTAGGTGTGTGGCCTACCACTGGAACATGCTAGATATCAGGGGCTACATTCTTAGAAAAAAGCAAGTATTTGCCTCCCAACAGCTAAGAATTGCCAATCGCTCTTCAACTAGGGGTGTCTAGCTCCTCTTTCCACATTTGAATTTGGTTTGGCTCAGATTTGCACAGGTCTTCTGCATGCTGTCTTACCACCATGAGTTCATATGTGTAAGATGCCCTGCTGTGTCCAGAAGAACTGTTTCCTTGTCATTATCCACTGCCTCTGGCTTGTACATTCTCTCCATTCTGTCTTTGTCAATGATCCCTGAGCAAGCTGAACATTCTTCCATTTCTTGTTCTCTGCTTTTTGGCTAGTTGTAGGTCTGTGTTGATCATCATCTATTGTAAATAGACATTCTCTGATGAAGTTTGAGAGATTCCTTAATCTGTGGATATAATGATATATCATTTGGAGTTGGTTTAATGCTATGTCTACTTAACAAATTATTCAAGTAGTTTCTCTCCTAGCATTATATTATCTATCTTACCATAGGTTCCTGGCCCAATAATGATGCCAGGTATGGGTTTTGTCTTTTTAATCAGGCCTTAAATCCTATCAGTAAGTGGTTAGTTATTACCATGACATTCATACCACTGTTGCACAAGTGGGTAGGGTTTTGCCAGGCTAGGCGTTATTTTAGCTCGTATGGGTCACAGCTCAAGAAGATCGATGGTTACTTTTCTCCTCCAGTAGCTTGCATAGCACCATCTAGCACTATAAAAGCTATTTAGTACGACTGAAGCTTCCAGATCTGTGCCAGCTTGATTTCATCATGTTCTTTGACTCAAGCATGTGATATCTTCAACAGTAGGTCCTACTAATTAAGTTCTGGAGGTAACTGTGAGCATTGGCAATTGTCTGTGATACTTGGGAGTCTTTGGGACCTATTGGCCAACAACTCAAAAAAAAGTAGCCCATTCCTGGGATTTAAATTTCTATATGTTAGTCTCTTGTCTAGTAGTGGCACTGTTGCCCCATTATAGGCTAACTTCTGCAGTAGTAAGTGCCTATATTTTTTAAAACTATTTAGTGTTACTTGTCCCTTATATGTAATGGCTACTTTTCTCTGCTTACTTTAAAGGGTTTTTTTTCTTTATTTTTATCTTTCACAATTTGATATGCTGTGCCTGAATGTATTTTTTTTTAACATTTTTCTTTTAGGTTCACTGAGATTCTTGAACCTCCAGACTTAAGCTAGTCAGATTTGTGAATGTGTTAGCCATTATTTTGGGGGTTGTTTTCCTTGTACCAGTTTCAGTCTCTTTATCATATGACTCTTGACATGAAAATTTGTCGATGTATCCAACCTTCTTATTAAATAAGAAACACAGAACCAATGCAAAGAAGAAAGCCAAGAGGTCAGAGCTAAGAGCTAAAACCTTACCCTTCCTCCTGCGGTTGTCCTACCTCTCCGAACCAGAGCTACCCCTGTGTTAAAGTCTTTATATAGAGTTCCTGTCCTGCCTTCTCATTGGTTGTAAACCCAACCACATGACCGCCTCCTCACGGCCTGTCTGTATAGGCCTCCAGGTTTTCCATGATTGGTATTAAGATTAAAGGCATGTGTATCCAATAATGGCTGTATCCCTGAACACACAGAGATTTACCCAGCTCTGCCTACCAAGTGCTGGAATTACAAGCGTACGCCACCACTGCCCTGCTTTCCTATGGCTTGCTAATAGCTCTGACCCCCGGGCAACTTTATTTATTAACATACAAATAACATTTTAATACAAATAAAATATCACCATAATTATTTTGGGGGTTGTTTTCCTTGTACCAGTTTCAGTCTCTTTACCATATGACTCTTGACATGAAAATTTAATCTATTAATAATGAATTAATATTCCAAGGTTCCTTGGGATCTATTCTTGATCTATTTCTCAGAATGTTTGTGACACAGCTTTATATTAATGGATGTTACCCCTCTTTCAGTTCCATTCTGCCTTTGAACTTATTCAGTGATGTTATTATTTCACATAAGCCATTTTTCTTTCAATTCTAAAGTTTCCACTTAAATATTTTCATGGTTTCTGTTTTAACTATTTTTTTTACTATTTATTAATGTTATTTGAGGATGGTTGTATTAGATACGTAAAAAAAAAAATTTCTGACGGTTCTAATATAAGGCTCACCTTGGGGTTGGTGCCAATGGATTTTTTTTCCCCATAAAGAATGAACGCATTTTTCAGGTTCTATCAATGCTGAATAATTTTGGATAGTATCCTAGGCATTTTGAATATTATATTCTAAGTAAAATATTTATCCCAGTTTAAATCTCTGGATAATGTTTTTTAGTTTTAACAACCAACCTCTTTGAGTATTGATCCAAATGTCTTTGCTGTACTGTGGTAGTTTGAATAAAATGTCCTCCTTATTCTTGGGTAATGAATACTTGATTCTCAGATGGCACTGTCTGGGGAAGTTTATAAAACGTTCCTTGTTGGAGGAAGTATGGGACTGTGGATGGACTACTGGAATTTATCCTATGGTCTACACCTGAGATTCTCTCTTCCATCTCTTGTATTCTGTTGGTGATGCATGGGTCTTTAGTTCCTGTTCACTTTCCAGAATTCCCTTGGTTTGTGTTTTCTTTATTGCTTCTATTTCCATTTTCAGGTCTTGAATAATTTTATTCATTTCTTTCACCTATTTGTTTGTTTTTTTCTTGGTTTTCTTTAAGGAATTTATTCATTTCCTCCCATTGTTTGTGTTTTCCTGGATATATCTATATATCTCTCTCCTCTCTCCTCTCTCTCTCTCTCTCTCTCTCTCTCTCTCTCTCTCTCTCTCTCTCTCTCTCTCTCCTCTCTCCTCTCTCCTCTCTGTCTCCTCTCTCTCCTCTCTCTGTCTCTCTCTCTGTCTCTCTCTCTCTGTCTCTCTGTCTCTGTCTCTCTCTTTTTCTCTCTCTCTCTCTCTCTCTCTCTCTCTCTCTCTCTCTCTCTCTCTCTCTCTCTCTCTCAACTTTTTATGTGAATTGGTGTTTTACCTGCCTCTATTTCTGTGTGAGGGTGTGGGATCCCTTGGACTGAGCTAAAGACAGCTATGAGCTGCCCTGTGAGTCCTCTGAAAGAACAGCCAGTACTCTCAACCACTGAACCAACCCTTTCCTGGATTTCTTTTAGGGGTTTTTTCATTTCCTCTTTAAGCACCTCTATCATCTTGACAAAGTTGGTTTTAAGGTCATTTTCTTGTGCTTCAGCTGTGTTGGAATATTCAGTGCTTGCTGTAGTATGAGAGCTGGTGGTGCCGTATTGCCCTGATTGTTGCTGATTGTGTTCTTACACTGTCATCTAGGCCTCTGGTTTAGGAATGAATGTGGGTCTAGTAGCCAATTTCTGAGTTTGTTTTTGTTGGATGGGTGTTTTTTGTCCCTTGTTCTGTTTCCTCTTTGGTGTTATGGTCTTTGTGGTTTGTATTTCCGGCAGCCTGCATGACCTCTGGTCCAGCTGGGAGTCTTGGTCAAAATTGGGAGCTGGACTTCTGATAGCTAGTGTGGCCTTTGGTTCAGAAAGGGAATCTCTGTTCTTCTGACTGGTGAGGCCTGTACTTGAGCAGTGAGTAACCCCCTCCCCAACCTCTGTGTAGGGGGCGTGGCATGGCAATGGATGCAGGTGGGGGGTAGCGCTGTCAGCAGCATGGGTCTTTCATGTCTGAACTAAGGGAATGTGGGGGGTGTTCCAAGGGAAGGTGGAACTCTTTCCTGTTCTGACTGGTGTGGTCTGTGCCTGAGAAATGGGTGTCTGCCCTTGTAGGGGCAATCACATGGGGTAGGACCCTGAGGGCCTGTCAATGCCTTGGGTCTT